CACACACACACACACACACACACACACACACACACACACACACACACACATCCGTCCGTCCATCCATCCATCCATCCATCCATCCATCCATCCATCCATCCATCCATCCATCCATCCATCCATCCATCCATCCATCCATCCGTCCATCCATATATCCATCTATCTATCTATCTACCTCTTTATCTATCTCCGCCCCCCCTCCTCTCCCCTGTGCCCCCGCCTCTTGGAGACCGGCGCGAAGGGAGGGTCGCTGCCGTGGTTGGCTGAGAAAAAGACGGAGGTGGACCAAGTGACTAAATTTAGTCCTGGCTTTGGGGTGTCAACCGGCATTAAAGTTGGTCGTTTTTACTATTATTATTATTTTTATCATTGTTATTATTACTCTTACATTTATTATTATTATTATTATTATTATTATTATTATTATTATTATTATTATTATTACTAGTACTATTGTATTTATTATTATTATTACTACTACTACTATTATATATTATTATTATTATTACTACTACTACTATTATATATTATTATTATTATATTCATTATATTTAATATTATTATTATTTCAGTTTTATATTTTTTTTCTGAAGGTGATTTAAAGAGACGTTCGTGATGAAGGTTTATATTTTGGTTATCTTACTTGATTGTCTTGTAAGTTTTTATGGTTGTTTTTCTGTATGTGGTGTGTGTGGTGGTAATGGAGAGAGGGAAGGGGAAGGAGAGAGGGGATAGGGAAGAGGAGGGAGAAGGAGAGAAGGAGTGGGAAACAAGGGATATGAGGGAAGGAGAGAGAGAGGGAAACGGAGAGGGAGAGGGAGGGGGAGGGGGAGAGAGAAATAGAAAGAGAGAGAAAAAAAGAAAGAAAAAGGAAAAGAGAGAGATGGAGGCAGTTATAGACCGCCAAACTTAACTCAAAGATTCAGAACCAGAAACACGAGCATAGAGTTGAATAAACACAGAAAAGGAATACGAAAAAGAGCCCAAAATACAATAAGATAAAGACAGTGGCAGCCTTCAGGGGCGTGGCTTAATTTAGGTCCGGCCCTTCGCTGCGTAATTGTCGAGACGTAAGAGGGTTACGACGGCCTGGCTTATTGAAGGCTCCTCTGGCATTTATTCTATTTATTTACTATTTTTTTTATTTCTTTGTCTTTCGTTTATTGTCGTTGATATTTTGGTTGTTACTTTTTACTATTATATATATATATATATATATATATATATATATATATATATATATATATATATATATATATATATATATATATACATACATATATATTTTTTTTTTTCTTTCTTTTTCTTTTCTTTCCTTTTTTCTTTTCTTTTTTTCTTTTTTTTCTTTTTCTTTTTCTTTTTTTTCTTTTCTTTTCTTATAGAAGTTACGGATTTTTCATGGGTTTCATATGCTGTTCTGCTTTTTTTTTTTCGTTTTTTTTCGTTCTGTTTTTATGGGCATTTCTGTTTTCGTTATCATAATCTTCCTTTCTTTTCATTTTACTGCTAGTACTGTTACAGCAATAGCAAAAATAGTAGCAACAACAACTACTACTACTACTGCAACTGGCAGTAGCAGTGATAATGATAATAGTAATAATGATAGTGATAATGATAAAATACAATTAATATTATATTAATTAGAAAGGTCTTTTCCATGTATGTGATGTATAAATAAATGCCCAAAAGTAAAGAGGTATACTTTGATTTTCTTTCTATAGATGTATTTTTATGCATAGAACCTCTGTGGTATATCTTTTATATGCCCGTGAAGAAGGCATATTATTGTTATCATTTTCAGCGTTGAGAACCAATACCTTAATAAATCGCATGTTTATTTCGGAGATTCCTGTCTGTTTTTCTGCTCAACTGCCATAACTCACGCCCTTTGCCTCGTCCGCGTCTCCTCCAGGTGGTCTGCCGGTCCTCTACTTCCGGGTGAAGTTCTGGGTGAGCGACCCGGGCAAGCTGGCGGAGGAATACACGCGCTACCACGTGTTCCTGCAGCTTCGGCGGGATGTGCTGGAAGGGCGCCTGTCCACCCCGCCCTCCACGGCTGCCCTGCTCGCCTCGTACGCCCTGCAGTGTGAGTGCTTAGAGAGGTTGATTATATATATATATATATATATATATATATATATATATATATATATATATATATATATATATATATATATGTATATATATAATTTTATTTATTTTTTCTATTTAAAGGAGTGTTTAATTGTTTTGTTTTGGATTTTTTAAACATTATTTGTTTATGTAGCAGTTGAATCCTTAATCTGTTGATTTAGTCTTTTAGATATTTTTTTATTTAAAATTTTAGCATGGCAAGGATGAAAATAGAAAATTAATTTATTCAAGGAGCATTTTTAAACTACGACCAGATTTGTAAAGGTGTAATTTAGAAAGAAAAAGAAAACGTGGGAGTGTGGCCCATAGGATGTCAAGCTAGACCTTGAGGGGGGGGAGGTCAGTCAGAGTCTCAGGGAGCAATCCCCCCCTTCCCCCACCTAAATGACACCCCTGCTCCCACCTCCTCACGTCCCCAACCCCTTCAATCCCAAACCCCGTCGCAAACGCCTCTCTCACACCCCCTCTTCCCTTGCAGCCGAACTGGGCGACTACAACATCGACGAGCACGGCAGCACCTACCTGGCTGACATGAGGCTCGTCCCCAACCAGAACGATGAGCTGGAGAAGAAGATCATCGAACTACACAAACTGCATAAGTAGGTTGGGTTGTGGGAGTAAGGGTATGATGATGATATAATGCGAAGGGGTGACTGATATGATGGTTGTGAGTGTTGTTATTGTGGTGGTGGTGATAACGTAAGAAGAATTATGATGGTTATTGATATTGATGATTTGGTAGTGATAATTGTGACATTGGGAGGTATGATATTAACATTAATGATTATATGATGTGATTATATGATGGTGATAATGATTAGGATGGTAATAACAGACAGACAGATAGACAGACAGACAGACAGACAGACAGACAGACAGACAGACAGACAGACAGACATATAGACAGACAAACAGACAATGAGTACAAGTGTGAGTGTGAGTATGAGTGAGAATGAGAGTGAGAGTGAGAAAGAGAAAGAGGGAGAGAGAGAGAGAGTGAGAGCGAGAGAGTGAGAGAGAGAGAGTGAAAGAGAGAGAGAGTGAAAGAGAGAGAGAGTGAAAGAGAGAGAGAGAGAGAGAGAGAGAGAGAGAGAGAGAGAGAGAGAGAGAGAGAGAGAGAGAGAGACTGACAGAGATTGACAGACAGACAAACAGACAGACAGACAGACAGACAGACAGACAAACATTCCAACAGACATTTTCCACTGGACAGAACCTACCAACAACCCTATGCCGTAAATAAATACGAGTCCCCCCCCCCCTCGAAACCCTCCCGAAGCCCATTTTCTGCACTCGCCCTCGCCTGCGCTCCGTTTTCTATTCCCTTCCCGTCTTCGCAGAGGGCAGACTCCAGCAGACGCAGAGTTCAATTTCTTAGACCATGCTAAGCGCTTAGATCTCTATGGCGTCGACCTGCACAAAGCCAGGGTAAGTTTTTATTTTTTTATTTTTTTTAGTTTTTTGAGGTACTTGTTTAAGTGAGATTGTTTATGTTTTAGAGATGCTTGTTTAAGTGAGATTGTTTATGTTTTAGAGGTGGTTGTTTAAGTGAGATTGTTTATATATTTTTTGTGTGTGTTTTTAAAGTTTTTTTTATAGAGCAAGTGGGGTTAAGAGCGACACGTATATTAGTTTATAAGGACGTTTCTTTTTATTATTATTATTATTAGTTGAATTTCGGTATTTTGACTTATCGGTGTTGCATCAAGTTGGTGTTGCATGTTCAAGTTTGCAGCGTATTGTTGTATAAAGGAAAGCAGCTCGTGTCAGTTTCTTGTTTATTGTTTTATTTGTTTTTATTGTCTGTTTATGTTATTGTTTTATTTGATTTTAGTGACTGTTCGTTTTCTTGTTTATTGGTTTATTTGGTTTTATTGTCTGTTTGTGTTATTGTTTAGTGTCTGCTTATTTTATTGTTTATTATGTTTGTTTTATTGTTTATTGTCTGTTTATTTTATTGTTTATTGTCTGTTTATTTTATTATTTATTATCTGTTTATTTTATTGTTTATTATTTGTTTATTTTATTGTTTATTGTCTGTTTGTTTTATTGTTTATCATTTTATTTAGGTTTATTATCTGTTTATTTTATTGTTTATCATTTGTTTATTTTATTATTAATTATTTTATTTAGTTTTGTTATTTGTTGAAATGTCAGGAGAAAATTAAATGAGCAGAATATATTGCAGTGGCATAAACTCCTTAAGTCACAAGATAATTAATACAAAGAATTAATTTAGTGACACTTCATCAAAATGTTCATAATCCATCTTTAAAAAAAAGCCTAAACTCTAAGTGTAATTCTATTTTTTTATTTCTTTTTTTTTCTTAATGAGGATTTGCAAAGTTTTTTCTTCTTTTCTTTTACCTTGTGTCTTGGAAGTTTACAGAAGTTAGGTAAACTTTATGAAGTCATGTTTTAATACTGTTTTTTTTTTTATTTATTTATTTATATTTTTTTACTTAACTATATCATATGCTTGGCACTTTAGAACTACATTTACAAGACAAGACCAGTTAATTGGAGAGCTGGAGTATTCCTTAATATTGTTGTTATTAAGAGAAATGTTAAGGTGATCTTTCATAGAATATTTTGAATGGTTTGTGCTTTATTTATATTTTTTTTTACTTTTCTCTTTGGATTCTTAGTAATTGTAAGTATCATAATATTGTTGTTATATATTTACTTGTTTTGAGTTGTGCCTGGTGTATTTTTTTTTTTTTTTAGATGTTGTAGTATACTTCTGTTGTGGTGTTTTTTTTTTTGTTTTTTTTTAATGTATGCATGGAATATCATTATAAATATGGATATAGGAGTTGCCAAAATATGGAAGTAATAGCTAAAGAAATAAGATAATATATAAACCTATACCAGAGCCAACTTCCACTTCACATTATCTGGCAAGATAAAGTTTGGCCTGCTTGCCTCTTTGTCATTAAATCATAAGGGAAGTCTACAAACTCTGTCTTGCCAGTCTGTATGTGATTGAGGCTCGGTGGTATCTGCTGGAGCACAGACAGGCATGGAGGCTGTGGCATTTACTTGACATTGTGCCTCTAGTTAATGCCAAGACTGTTGCTATAGCTGGATGCCATTGACAAAAGCCTCTATAAATGGTTGGTTCTCTTCAGAAACAGTCCACTGTCACTGAAGTCATTAGGATCAACAAAATGACATTACTGGTGTACACCGTGTAAAAATATACAATTTTTGTTACTTTTCAATAATATATATTTATTTATATTCCACAGTGAAAAAATGAAAAAAAAAAAAAATCTTGTCTTCACTTAAAAACCCTCATTCTCCTGCAGGACTCAACCAACCGCGAGATACACCTGGGTGTAACTGCGATAGGTCTGGTCGTGTTCCAGAATGGAATAAAAATAAATACCTTTAGCTGGGCCAAAATTGTCAAGATCTCGTTCAAGAGGAAGCAGTTCTTCATTCAACTTCGAAGAGGCTTGGTAAGAATTGATCATTGATATTTGTTATATGTTTATTGGTAATGCTGGTATTATTATTATTTTTTTTTTGAAAATTTTTCTCTTTTTTTTTTCCCTATGTATGGATTGGAGTGTTCTATCTTGGTTATGATTTATTGTTTTTTTCCTGATGGAAAGAAAGTTCTCAGCACATCTTGATATGGATGAATGATAAAACATTAATATATTCAATATTGTATCAGCACACTCTTTAATTATGGAAAGAGTAGTTATTATACATTCTTGTGTTTATGTTTCATATAGACAGACCAGACTGACAGTAAACCCGACCCAGGTTCATTTCTACAAATTGTCAAGAAAAGACTCTATAGAAAGGTAGTAAGCCGGTGTAACTGGGGCCCAGGTGCTCTTTGCTTGGTAAAGTAAAGATTGGTGGTCAGTCAGATGTTTTGAGTTGGAGGTGATGATCTTCGGTTATTTGTTTATTTATGTATTTATTTTCTTATTTGTTTATTTAGTTTCTGTCACTGAAGACAGGGCTTATGTACCCACCTCTGACTCAGTATATCTGGTGAAACCATGTTTGATTTGAATTTTTTTGGAATGACTTTTTATGATCAGCCATTTGTGACAGGTGTCAAGCAACTAATATGTGAGAAATACCTACTAAAAAGGCATGTTTTTTGGTATAAGAGAATGTAGGCTGTTCCCTTGTCTACACAGCAAGTGTTGGGTAATTTGCCGAGGGCAATGTTGTGTTAAAGTTGTTTGGATTTTATAAAAGTCTCTGGTGAGAATTATGTGTGTGTTTAAATTATAAATAGAAAACACCCTAATCTGTCTTTTTGTCTTTTACTGACTCTTTGGTCTTGAGTGTTAATCATTACTCATAAAGGTGGCTTGCAGGTGTGGTGCATTTTGTACATACCTTAATCTAATGACACTGCTTTGGTATCACTTCTGTTCTTCACCTGCAGTTAATAATGATTATATCAGTAAGTAAGAGTTTCATATATGGATTAAGATTATCTATTCAAAGTGCTGATTAAGATTTATTCTCAGGATTTGAAATAGTATGAAAAAATATATGTTACATGATTATTATAATATTTCAGAAGGAAACTTTGCTGATTATACTTATGATTTGATTTTGCATTTTGTGGATTCTGATTTTTAAAAATTCTTATTATTCAGGTATATTATTCATATTGGTCTTTGCATCCACATGCAACTGTAGTTCCAATAAATAAATTGTAGACTTGGAAATATACAATAAAAACGTATCCTTGTATTTTTTGTGTTAGATTATATATGATTATACTTTCTCAGGTAAAAGATTTCAGAACTAGGAATATATAGCTTATCATGTATACTTGGGTATTGTTTATGTATTTGTTGCCTAGATAACATAATTTTATTATTGAAGTAACAGAAATATAAACCCAGATGTGAAAACTCTTTTTATGATAGTGAAAGCAATGGAATTTCAGACTGATTTGAACTCTTCCATTCACTTACCATTTAGTTGTTGCAGATACCTGAAATATGTTGGTACATCAATTCAGATAATTCAATATTGTTTAAAAAATCCTGGAGATGACTAATGTATGTATCAGACATTGTGATTTATACTTTATACCAGTGTTTTCAGCTCTATTTTGAGTAGTGTCTGAGTTTGTCATGTTTCATATATTTGTATAAATTACTTTCAGACAGCAAATTTCAGTCTCATGTGAAAAGTGCTTTTTTGATAAATAAATCCCAATTTGAAGTAATAAGCTCAGTTGATAGTTTTTAAAAAAGTCAGTTGTTACTGTTTTAGATAGAATTTATTAATATTATTATTATTATTATGTTGCAGTCATCTAGAAGAAATTATGATGGTAAAATGCATGGATGTTATGATTTTATATTGTCTCCCATTTTCAATTTGCTGGGTGGATACTGAATAAGAATAATTCCCAAGTTCCTGCAATTAAATGACTATATTTTGGTATAAATTGACATATTCATCTCCAAGTACCAAATTATTTCCAAATCAAGACTTTACAATTAACAAAGGGCAAGTAGGAAATGAATATATATATATGTGTGTGTATATCATATATATATATATATATATATATATATATATATATATATATATATATATATATATATATATATATATATATATATATATATATATGTGAAGTTATGTAACAGAGAAGTCAGTTTTTATATTATGATTTCTAATTAATTTAGTTACTCCGCTATCCAACCTTCAGACGGATATACTGGATAAGGCATGTGGATATTCTGATTCTGAGACCCCCTTTCCTCTGAATGATAATCATAGAATAATTCCCAAGTTCCTGCAATTAAATGACTGTATTTTGGTATAAATTGACATGTGCATCACCAAGTGTCAAGTTATTCCCAATTCAGGGCATTTCAGTAAATGAAGGGCAAGTAGGAAATTGATATATACTGAAGTTATGTAACTTTTTAATATTATGATTCCTAATTGATTTAGTTATTCTTCTATCCAACCTTTAGATGGGTATACCAGATAAGGCATGTGGATATTCTAATTTTGAGACCCCCTTTCCAGTGAATGATAATCATAAGGAAAATGAATGCGTTGATAGTCTTTTTTCATTGCAAAAAGTGACTGCTTGAGTTTGTGCAGTTTGTTTGATGAATGACTCAAGATCTTAACTAGTTCTGTTGTTCATGTTCATGTACATAGATCTGTGTGATATCTAATATTTAATCTGCCTTGACTGTTGCTACCTTCATTCAGTGATGAAGACCATTAATATTTACTTGGTTAGACTAAGGATAAAGTCCTTCAGGAGTGATAATAAGAAGCAGTCTTATAGG